TGCAAGGAAGAGTCAATTGATGTGGCAAACTTCATTGTTGTCTTATTTTAAGAAACTGTCACAGCCACGCCAACCTTCAGCAACCACTACCCTGATTAGTCAGCAGCCATTAACATTGAGGCAAGACCTTCCACCAGCAAAAAGATTATAACTTGCTGAAAGCTTAGAAGTTTCTTAGCATTTTTTAGCAATAAAGTATTTCTTTTTTTTTTTTTTTTTTTTTTTTTTTTTTTTTTTTAAAAAATCTCCCCCAGCCACCCCACCCTTCAGCAACCACTCCCCTGATTAGTCAGCAGCCGTTAACATTGAGGCAAGACCTTCCACCAGCAAAAAGATTATAACTTGCTGAAAGCTTAGAAGTTTCTTAGAATTTTTTAGCAATAACGTATTTCTTTTTTTTTTTTTTTAAAAAATCTCCCCCAGCCACCCCACCCTTCAGCAACCACTCCCCTGATTAGTCAGCAGCCGTTAACATTGAGGCAAGACCTTCCACCAGCAAAAAGATTATAACTTGCTGAAAGCTTAGAAGTTTCTTAGAATTTTTTAGCAATAACGTATTTCTTTTTTTTTTTTTTTGTCTTTTGTCTTTTTCCGTGTCCGGCAACGGATCGCAACCCTCAGTGTTGCCCCCGTACCGGACCGGGGACCGGCAACGGGATCGCAACCCTCGGGGTCGCTCCCGCGCCTCGCTCAGCCAGTGAGCGGGAACCAGTCTGTATGTGGGATCCGAACCCTCGGGCGGGAGCGCCGCCGCGCTTCCCAAGCGGCGCACTTATCCAGTGCGCCACCGGGCCGGCCCTAAAGTATTTCTTAATTAAGATATGTACACTGGATTTTTTTTCTTTTTAGAAATAATGCTATTGCATGCTTAATAGACTACAGTATAGTGTAAACATAACTTTATATGCACTGAGAAACCACAAAATTCATGTGACTTGCTTTATTTCAGTGGTCTGGAACTGAACCCACAATATCTCTGAGGTATGCCTGTATTTAACTTTTTAATACAAAATCTCAAATATATACAAAAGTTCAAAGAATTATATGATAAGCCTCCATGTGCCTGTCAATTCAGCTTCAGTAGTTATCAACACATAGCCAATCAAAGCAGACTCACAGAGCCAGGAGTAACTGCAGGTTAATTCAGGCCTAAAAGGGTACAGCCAGGTGACCTGCCCAATGTCACAGAGCTGCTCAATGGCCCACAGGAAGAAAAAAACCTGTGCACCCCCAATCCCTAACAGAATGTTCACCCCCCTATATTAGGACCCTTAAAAGACACTAAGAGAAGCTAGGGAGAAAAATAGGAATGAAAGGGAACCTTCTCTCAATTAATTTTTGTTTAAAAAAAATGTATAAGAGAAATATCAGGAGAGAAAACGCTTTCGTTTTTTATGCTACAGAACAGTGAGGTAGTAGTTTTGGGTATCAAAAACATCTCCACCCACAGCTTTATTTTGCCTCTAGCTGAATAGTACCCATCATAGGTAAACAAGTGTGATTAGGTGACTTTCCTTCAATCACAGTTATGGTTCTTCACATTGTTCCCCATCTGCGTGGCACCCCTTTCCTCAGAGTATCAGGGTTCCAACGTCCTCTGGGGCCCATTCCCCACCTCATCCCCTTTAAGAATGGGAAAAAACCTGATGAAGTAGGTAGGTCCTCTCTGTATCTCTTCAGTGGGAAATAAAGGATTAGATGTGAACGTGGCTCATGTACTCAGCTCACATCAACTCTGACAGCTAAACTTGCCCATCTCAGGTGTCTAGTACCAGCATCCCAGGAGATCAAAGGAGCCTCAGGCCCAGTGCAACAGGAGCTTATTCTGCTCCGGAAACTAGTACCGCCCCCTCCCTCCAGTATCCTCCTCCCTCCACTTCCTTCCTAGCCTGGCCAAGGCTCAGTTCCTCACCTACTCATCCCAACATTAAACCAAGTCCTCCCTTCATCTGCTTCAAGACTTACAGATGTACACAACAGCTTGTGTTATGGGTATATAATAATCTTAGAAATTTTCATATTGTGATTCCCTAACTTACACTCTGAAACATATAACCATGACACATATGTAACTTCTACCTCTGATAATAAAGTTTTCACAAGAGTGGGTCACTAGAATAAAGTCTTTGTTAACAGAAGTATTAACTGTGCAGTGAACATTCAATCAAGTGTCTACCTACTACTGTTCTAGATACAAACTAGAATCTAGAAAAAACACCAAGTGATAACCTTGTTTTCAACCATACTGATAACCAGAAGAACAAATATCAATACTCAACCAAAGCCAAGAAAGTAAACAAATGCACAAAATTAACCATCTTAGTCTTTTCAAAAAAAGTGGATAAACACTCTAGATTTTAACGAACAAATAAACCTCTCTCTGCCCTCTATGATTATTTTAATCTTTCCTAGCAGAGAAAAATCTAATTTATGTTAATAGTTGAAAACATAATTCTATTGAGTGCATAACCTTTGTTTTATGGATACTTCATCAGTCCACTCATAATTAAATCCAACCCACAAAACTCTTCCACAACTCATTCATCAATAAATGATTATAACAGAGAGAAAAAATTTGTTGACTATAATGCTTTATCATACTGAAAAGGGGCATATATTTGTTCAATTATTTATCCTTCAAGTCTCTGAATAGAGAGAATTTGCTGTGGAGGCTCTTTTTATTACATAAGCCATCCTGCTCTTTACTACACAACTCAGGTATTCGCACATGTGCTGCCAGGCCCCACTCACAGGCCATGAGATTTCACAAAATTATAGTTTATAAATTCAAAATAAAAGATGCACAGACTCAATTTTGGGAAGTTCATTTTTGTGATACAATAAAGATCAAGCTGCATTTTCTCATATGAAATTATAAAATTAACTGTTCAATATCTCTAATAAGATCTTTTAAATTAAAACCCTTCAAAATTGGTATTTCTAGCATTCTTTAAAAGTGTTACAGACAATTTATTAATTCTCTTTTAAGTATAAAACAATTATTTAATATGGGGGGTATCATTACTTTTATAAAAAAGTTTAATATTTTAGTACATTTGATTGTATGTAGTTTTACCTCAAAAAAGAGGAACTGTAAACAAAAATTAAATACTGAAGTATATAAAGAGGAATGGACTGATGCTTTGTAACTCACTTTGAAATATATCAAAAAAATAAGGTGATAGATGAATAGATGGACAAATATGTGATTAAGAAAGTAAACTTAATTGTAGAGTCTAGGTGGTAGGTATATAGGTGTTCACTGTACAATTTTTCAAATCTTCTGTATGTTTGAACATTTTCATAATAGAATGTTGGAAAGAAAAAAAGCTTAAGGTAACATTCTTAAAGTTCATGCTTACCACAGCATTTGTGCTCTTAAGACTGAAAACTAGTATAGGAGATATGATAGCACAAAATTATTTAGGACATATATGAAAAAGATACAAAATTATTAATATGGCATTATGTCAGTGATATAAATATACATAGAAAAATAACAAAAGGAACTAAAATGTTAATAAAATTGTTCTAGGGTAATGGGCTTACGGGTGATTTTCCCCATTTCCCCAACTTTCTGTAATATAATCATATACATAAATGCTTTCTGTGCACATATAAATATACACATGTATATTCAAAAACATTTTCTGCAAGTGCAATGAATATAAGGAAAATATGAGGGAGGAAGACTGCCATGTCTAACTTTAAGGAAAGGAACAAAAAATATTTTGTTTAAAAAAAAAATGGGGCGGGGGAGGGAGGGGAGCTGGCCAGTTAGCTCAGTTGGTTAGAGTGGTGTTATAACACCAAGGTCATGGGTTTGGATCACTGTACTGGCCAGCTGCCAAAAAGAAGGAACCGTGAGTTTACCTCCCCCCCATCTTCCTGCTCTTCGGATTTTGTTTTCTTGGGTTTTTTTTTGTTGTTTTTTTTTGTGACTGGTAAGGGGATCGCAACCCTCGGCAGGGTGTTGCCCGTACCGCGCTCAGCCAGTGAGCGCAACGGCCATCCCTATATAGGATCCAAACCCACGGCCTTGGCACTCCCAGCACTGCACTCTCCCAAGTGAGCCACGGGGTCGGCCCTGTTTTCTTGTTTTTGATTCAAACACAAAAATGAGTCAACCATGAATATAAATGCACCAAATCAACAGGGCCCATCACTTTTTCATTCCCATACTGGTAATGTATTAAGGTAATGAAAAAATTTAGTTGACGTAGCCAACTGCAGTGCCTTATAATTCTCAGAATCCATAAACGAAGGTAATATTCACAATAGAACAAAGCATGTGAGCCTGCTTGAGGAGAATATAACTTATTACGACAGTAGTTTATTTTTTAAAAGAATCATTAAAAGCTAAAGCAAATGTCTTATAAATAGGCATCTTCCCAGTTTATAGCCTAATTTCCTCTACCTGGGAGGATTTAGTCCGTTGAGTGCCAGTCATTTTGAGATGGCAGCAAGAACCACATTAAGTCACCCATCTCCTTGAGTCACAAGGGGACACATGGATTTGAGCCTCAGCCGCTGTCACTTAGACAAGTCACTTCATCTCTCAGGGCCTAACCTTCTTCCTCCATAAAATCAGGGCCTGCTAAGGTCCCTTCCAGCTCTAAAAATTTGCTCAATTTTAGGCAGGAGGGAATACAGGCTTTGCAAAACTGAGCAAGGAATAGGTCTCCTTGAACTCCACCCAGCTAATCTCTGGATAAGGACAAGCTGGTGCCATAAAAACATGAATTCATGAAGAATACCTCCATGCAATGCCCTGCACCCAAGACGTATCTGGAGACAGGATGTGGAAAAAGCAGACATGAGACCACCCAATATAACTAATCACAGGATTCATCCTCATTACAGGGCTTGTTTTGAATAATCCAGGCAATCCCTCCTCCCTCAATGGACTCTAAACACACTATTAATTCCATTTTCGAAGTTGCAAATAAAGATGGCAGAAACATGTATTAAATATCATAAAGAAAAAACAAAGATAATACCTGAATGTATCTACTGCTTTCTTCACATCTACTTTAACTGTAAGTGATTTCTTCCTAAGATTGACAGATGAGGGTTTCACATCAGAAAAGTTTTTACTTTTGACAAGCTGTTTACTGGAAGAGTTGCGCTCTTTCCTGCAATCCCCTTCTTTCTTTATTTTTTCCTTCCGTTTGCCATTAGAAGGCCTCAAATCAACATCATTTTTATTTGAGTGAGTACAGGCAATGTAGTCTTTCTTAGATGGTTTAAAAGGGTCTTTGACTTGTCCATCTTCAGTCTCTCTCCCTCTTCCAGCATTAAAACAATCTGACTCTCTATTTACAGGGTCTTTTTGAGAACTGTATTTTCTATCTTCCTCCTTAGAGTACTTCTGAATTCTCCCATCTGAAAAGTCCTGGTCCCCATCTGAGGCCTTATGACGTTTGTGGCGATAGTCATAGGACACTTTGGCTGCTGAACTGGTCTCTGGGTGCTCCCTCTCAGCATGTCGATGAGTTTGGGGTCCGAGGTTCCACGCATCTTTCTTCTCTTGGTAAGGTGGAAGAGAATGCTCGGGCTTCCACTTTGGGTTCCTGGCAGGCTCTCTGTTTTCATACCTCTCCACATCTTTAGGTCTTTTTGATGTGTGTCCATATTTTCTGAAATCACGATCCTCAGGATACCTGTGTTGACATAAAGCAGTTTACACTTGCACTAGAGAGAAGAAAGTGAGAATTTATATGTGCAGAATGTTTGGCAGCATGGCTTTAAATGCAGAACGCAGTGGCAAGTTACCCTATAATCCCTCAAGCCAATTCATAGAGGCACAAGGTAGTTAAAGAGGAAAATGCCATGTTTTTTTTTTTTTAATATTCTAGCCATCAACATGATTTACTCTAAAAAGAAATACTTCACCACTACCAGTAGACCATAACTAAATTTTACAATGCTTTTTATCTTTTTAGACAAAAGCTTTTCAAGGTGGTTATCTTCAACCATAAAGTAAACAGACTTTTTCACTTGAGGCTTTATACCAAATTACCCAGGTGTAATGTTTTCCTATACCTCTTCTGAAAAGAGCTCCTTGTCTCAAAGTCTTCAGAGCCTCTTCTAGGTGACTGGGAATATTTTTCTTCTTGTATCCTCTGGTGCCTCAACTCTTCTTCATGCCATTTTCCTTCAAATCTAAAAGAATCTGCTATTGACCTCTGAGATGGCTTCCCTCCTTTTCCACTTCCTCTAACTCTGTGGTCATCAGGAATATACCTTCCTTGCACTTTCTGGGGATAACAATTCCTCTCATGCTCTTTGTAGGGCAAACCCTCTGAGTATTTGGGCATATACTGAGATCTGTTACTGTCCCCTCTTCCAGGTGAATATACTTGGTGAGGCTTATACATATAAAAATTGTCTAAAGAGTTGTTTCTTATGTTTGGGGAAGGTGATCTATGTTCATAAGATCGGTAATGTATATTTCCACGATAGGGAATCCTTGATTTACTCTGTCCGTGTTTCTCATTGTCCGTTCTCCAAGCAATGGACCTTTTTGAATCCTTCCTATATTCACAGTCATAATGCCCATGAGAATGTCTTTGCTTGTAGTATTCAAAATTTCTAGGTATTGGTGATAAAGACCTATGTAAACAAACACAGAAAAGTTTAGTCCAGTGAAAGACAATAAACTAAGTTTGTCTTAATACAACCTACCTAAAACATTTGCTTTTCCTAGAATTCCACTGCTTCCTCCATTCAAACTAAATTCATCAGTTTTCTGTGTCTGCATTCAGAATTGTACAAAGGTCTGATTATGATACCACCCAATTCAACAAGCATACGCTTTCCATCTGAACTAATATATTTCATGTGCATATCAAAATGGCTGGGGACACCCATCCTATTGAAGGAAGACCAGCTTAGGTACACAGCAGAATCCCTTCTGGAAGACAGCAAAGTTCTGGCAAAAGAAGATGCAGTCACTTCAAAGGGAAGGGCCAGTCAGCAAAAGCTTACATCAGGTTTAACTGCCAGGTAAGAAACAAGCAGAAGGAGGGTTAGATTCACACAAATAAATGTATAGAAGAGTGTCCAGAAAACTGAACATGACCTGTGAAATTTAACTAGATTCTAAGATTTAATGATGCCACAGCCCAAACTCAGACCCAAGACTGGCCCCATAGTTTCTCCAATTGATTGTCTATTCTACAAAGGCTGTATCAAGGAGCAAGAAGTATATACTTAATGGGGGAAAAAGGGAGAGGGGAGGGAATTAAGACTTGAATCTCATCCTCAGTTCCTCCATAAATACTTCTCACATAGATAAGTTGCTTTTCTTTCCCAGACCTGTTTCCTTACATATCAATTGAAATATGTGTTGTTCTAACAGAGCTTGTAACTTGGGTGAAGGTGTGCTTTAATGCAGCTATAGTGCTCTTCAGGGAGAGCACATCCTTTCTGTAACTACCTTCTCCAGTACCTTAGCACTGCCAACATTGAGCCTTGTATTCCCACTGAGGAGGAAGGCTCCTGTATCCAGGGAAACCAGTCTGGGTAGCCCAGACTTAAAGATAAGAGAGAAGAGTGCCACTATCTGGAACACAATAGTTTCACTTTGCACCTGGGGACCTTTCCCCCCATCTGACCTGTCCAATTTCCCAATCTACTCCGTGAGGAGTTTAATGTCTTATATTCGATGAAGAAGCTACTCTTGCAGCTTTTGTTACTGTCTCCTCTCAGAAGCTGCCACAGAGCTGAAGCAACCATGAATGAATCCCTTTCCTTTTGGTGGTAAGTCTGTGTCCCCACTACAAGAAAGGAGGCAGATCTTTCTTCCTCATGTACCTACTGGGACTTATATACTGGACCTGGAAATACTACCCTCTGAAGTCACCAAGCTAGACATACTGGCAAGTGTTATTTAGCTGAGGCAGAAACTCTGCCTCTCAGCTGGCTACACCCCATCAAAGGGAAGCAACCAGAGCCTCTGAGGACTGACTTTGTCACTTTCACTGCTAAGGAGAAAAACTGGCAGCCAGAGGCAGAGGTCTTCCAGACTGGATGAAATACCCAGTATCTTACTTTAATCCTTACTTCACATTAAATACTGCTCTGATATTATATTTTATATCATATGTTTTATTGTATACCACCCCTTTCTTCTAAAGAAGGTTGTTGGAATGGTTGCTATCATTTTCAGTTCTCCTAAAGGAACAAAAGAGACCCAAGGAATCTTCTGGGAGACAATTCTGCACAGTCTCTTGAGTTCTGCACACCTTGTGAGCAGAGGCACTGAGAGTTTTTGTCCAAGACCAACAGCCTTTGAAGATAGAGACAGGGTCTCCCTTAGGAACAGAGGGCTGATTTGTTTGCTGTCCACAGATAATAAGATAATGTCTCCTCCAAGGCAAAGACTGTGAATTGCTTGTAGACCCTAATAAGGGACTGAGGTTCCTCAGCTATGTTGTAACCCCACTGCCTGTGTCATAATCCCCAGCCACCAGCCCTCAGGGGACCTGGAGGGTAAGGGGAATAACTGGAACACAAAGCTCAAGCTGCCTGCTGTACTATGAGTAACAGAGGCCTTTGTCTTTGACTGGGGAGTGCCTTGTGGCAGTCTAATGCATTAGCTCGCAAGTAGGGTAGCATGGAAGACCCCCTTTATAGCTCTTGACAACGAAACCTCTGAAGGAATCCAGAAATCAGGCACTAAGCTTGGCAGGGTCTCTTGTGCTCCTCACCAGGGCCTGACACAAAAGGGTGAAACAAAATGACCTCTGTGGTATCCTCCATGTTAAAATGATTTGCTCCTTTACATTGCTTTTTCTTTTTGAAGCTCCTCCCCATTACAACTTGGTCTTGTGAATTACAAAATGAACAGTGTTAAAGAAATGATTGATTAGTCACCACATAACCAAAATGAACAAACACAATGGCCAAGTTATATTAAAATGAAAAACGTTGGTCTGCCTTTTGAGTATGCAATTATGGTCCTTTTTTAAGTCCTAGACATACTAGTCATGTTTACAGCCTGGCGCCTTTGCTCTTGTTCTCCCTCTTAACTGCAATGGTTTTCTTCACTGTTTCTGCCTTTAGAAATTCTACCCATCCTTAAACATCCAGCTAAAACTTTTTTCATCTCTTCTTTGAAGACTTTCTTAGTATCCTACTTCCCTCCACAAAAGTGGAATTATTCCCTCCCTGTAGATCCAGAACACTTTGCCCCAATCAGTAGCGCAGCACTTTTCTTACATGTCATAAGTAGGTACGATATCTAGCACTTTCCCTATGTCCACTGGCTACGGTGTCAGCCTACCCTGCCAGCCTGAGTGCTTGCTTGCTGAGGCCACAGAAGATGGCATACTTGCCTTTGCAGCCCCCAAACCTGCCTGCAGCAGGTATACAATATAGAGTGGTTGAACTGTCCCAATCTAATTATATTTATTGATACCACTAATCAGGAAGGAGGAGAGTTGAACTCCAATCAAGCTATTGAAAACTCTATTATTCTGCCATGAAAAAGAAGAAATAGGAAACTCCCTATTTTCTAACTCTAAATTTACTAAAACATACTAATTATGAAAAAAAAATGAAACACTGAAGAGTTCTAAACCATTCACTAATTCAAAAAATGTAATACTCTCAAAGATGTTTCTCATTCTCTCTTGCTATGGCCGTTGCATTTCTTTTCATTATGAATTAATTCTAGCTGCCAGCCATAATTAATTAAAGCTGTCAGTTCCTAGAATCTAGAAATACGGCCTCTATCACGATAAAGCACCTACTGTGAATAACCAGGTCCCATGAGCTTATTAAAATAAGTTTTTACCAGTATTGGTGAATTTGCAAGTCACAGCACATCCCAAATCCAAGCTTACACTGCTAAACTAAGAACTGCTCACCTGTATTTCCACCTGGGGGATCTAGATCGTGACCGTGCCATCCTTTGACACGTGAGCCACTATCCACTTTTTACACTGCAAAGAAACACAGTATTAGCGAGTTTGTGGAAAGAGCCTGCAATGTGCCCTAAAACACAGTGAATGCCACCAAGAAAAAGTTATTTAACCCCTCTGTGCCTCAGTTTCCTCATCTATAAAATGGGAATAATAACAACAGTACCCACCTGATTGAAATATTGTCAGGATAAAATGAATTAAATCAGGGATCAGCAAACTTTTTCTGTAGAGGGTCAAATAGTAACTATTTTAGGCTCTGCAGGACACATAAGGTCTCTGTCACATTGTTCCTTCTTTTATTGTGGTAAAATATATATAACATAAGGTTTGCCATTTTAACTATTTTTAAACATATAATTCCATGGAATTAATTACATTCCCAATGCTGTGTGACCATCACCTCTATTTCCAAACCTTTTTCTTCTTTTTTCAAAAACAACTTTTTAAAAATGTAAAAACAAGGCTAGATTGCATTGAGATGTGCCCTAAGTGTAAAATACACATTGAATTTCAAAGACTTGGTACAAAAAAAAAAGAATGTAAAATATTTCATTAATATATTTCTAATATTGATTTCATGTTTAAAGGATATTTTGGATATACAGGGTTAAATACACTATATTGTTAAAATTAATTTATAAAAATAAAAATTTTAAAAACCGTTTTAGCTCAAGAGCCATATGAAAATAGGCTCAGCAGGCCAAATGCACTGTAGTTTGATGACCCTTGAGTTATCACGAAAAGAGCTTATTAGTGTCTGGCACATAGCAACTGCTAAATAAGTATTCCAAAAAGAGGAAAAAATTACCCAGATTCCTCTATCTGAACACACCTACTACCATCTTCCTGTCTTTCTCCAAGCACATAAACACTTCATATAATCACAGTCAAAATGTTTAGGAATACATGATGGTATATCCTGCTTTTTAGACTGTTAGATTATACGAATTACAATTCCTAATTGTAATTGTCAATTGCTGCCTAACTTTCCACCAGATAAATATACTCAAAACTTAATTAAGCATTATTAGACATTTATTTGCTTCTGATTTTTTCCTAAAATAAATAATGTCAAATAAGTAAATCTTTAAAGGCATTTCTGGGCCGGCCCCGTGGCGCACTCGGGAGAGTGCAGCGCTGGGAGCGCAGCGACGCTCCCGCTGCGGTTTGGATCCTATATAGGACTGGCCGGTGCACTCACTGGCTGAGCGCAGTGCGGGAGACACCAAGCCAAGGGTTGTGATCCCCTTACCGGTCACGAAAAAAGACAAAAAATAAATAAATAAATAAAGGCATTTCTAAACTTGATTTTCCCAATATTCTTCAATCTTTAAAAGAAACTGATAGCTTTAGGAGCTGAATTTTAAAAATATGTAATTAGGGTATAATCTCTCTATACTAGCTATTATTTACACCTCAGTAGTCTTCCTCAGTTCTGATACTATTATTAAATAGTTCCCAACTTACTTGGCCCAAACCCCCAGTGGCTTTCAAAAATCATTGCCATCAGTTCATGAGTAATCATACAGCCAACGTGCACAGACTACAGAATGAATAAGTATATGTCTCATTATTATGTACCTTTACTTTGCAAATTTCTGAAGATACTGAGGTGAATATTAAAATATAAATGGCAGAGGGCTGGCCAATTAGCTCAGTTGGTTAGAGCACGGTGTTATAATACCAAAGTCAAGGGTTCAGATTCCCATACTGGCCAGCTGCCAAAAAATAAAAATAAAATAAAATAAAAGAACTCATTGTGACTACGCAGTTTTTCTATGAACTGATACAAAAAGTACAACTATTATTATGTAGACATTGGTTAAAAGGGGGTCCTTGTACTCAAACATCTGCAAACTACTGTTGTCATGAATTTCAGAAGAAAGTAAAAGCATATAAGGTCAAAGGACTTTACCAGAGCAACTAAAATCAATTCATTTAGTTTTACATTGTCCCCTTCCAAAAATAATTCGAAGCTAGGAAGAACAATTAGTTCAAAAATTATTATGAAGTTAAAACACTAAAGAGGAAAATGTTTGTTTACTAACTAAAAATATCAAAATGTATTCATTCAACAAATTTTATTGTGTACCTATTATTTGCCAGGCACTGTTCTAGGGAATACAGCAGTGAACAAAAACAGGCAAAAATTGCTGTTCTGATAGAGATTACATTCTACTGGGGAACTTATAATTTAATTAAAGAAACTTTGAGTATTAGTTCAAACCTATTAAATTTAACAAAAACAATAAACCCAAAGATCGTGTGTGGGGGAGGGAAGTAAACATGAAATATTACTGGTAATGATGAAAACGCAAAATTTTCCTAGAGGGTAATCTTTTCTTTATTTTATAATATAGATTTATTGAGATGTAATTCACATGCCATACAATTCAACTATGTAAAGTGTACAATTAAATGGTTTTTAGTATATTCACAAGGAAGTACAACCATTACCATGGTCTAATTTTAGAACATTTTCATCCCCCCTAAAAAAAATCCCATTAGCAGTGACTCCCCACTCCTTCGCTCCCCTGCTTAGGCCCTGGCAACCACTAATCTACTTTCTGTTTCTATGAAACAGATTTGCCTATTCTGGACATTTCACATAAATGGAATTATACAGTCACAGTCTTTTGTGACTGGCTTCTTTCACTTAGCATAATTTTTTCAAGGTTCATCTGTGCTCTAGCACATATCAGTACTTCATTCCTTTTCCTGGTGGAATAATATTCCATTGCACGGCTATGCCACATTTTGTTTATTTATTCATCTCTCAGTGCACATTTGGGTAATTTCCACCTTTTGGCTATTGTGAATAATGCCCCTACAAACATTTGTGTACAAGTTTTTGTATAAACATATATTGATACATAATTGCTGGGTCAGATGGTAACTTTAACTTTTTGAGGAACTGCCAAACTTTTCCAAAGCAGCTACACCAATTTACACTCCTACCAGCAGTGTATGAGGGTTCCAATTTTTCTACATCCTCACCAACATTTGTTATTATCTGTCCTTTTTATTATAGCCACTCTAGTGGGTGTGAAGTGGTATCTCACTGTGGGTTTTGTATGAAAAAAATATAAATAATTCATTTTCAGAAATGACTTATCTGAAGGTGTTTTATTGAGATGGTAATTAGTTACTAGCCCCTATTGTGTTCTTCATTCCCTGGTGTTTCTCCCATCACAGGGCTTATGCGGGCCTTTTTCACCGGCTTGTCCTGAGCTCCCAGACAAAGGAATTCCTTGCATTGCAAGAGGGTAATAAATTTTATCTGTCGGGAAGATTGTGCACCCTGTAGTATTCAGCCAATGAGGAAGTGGGGGGAGGGACTTGCACACTAGGGAATAAATTGCTTGCTACAGCCCTTTTCCATGCACCTGCCCTTCGGACACCTGAACCTTGTAAGGCCGTAATTAAAGTCTTGTTTTGCTGTACCTCATGTCTCTGTGTCCATCCTTTGGCATTGGACGGGTGAGGGCATTTCTTACAATTTGGGGGCTCATTTGGGATCTCTGTGACTGCGGGACTGGGATCCTGATAGACGGCAAGACACGTCCCATCTGATTTCGGGTGGCCTGCTCTGTTTCAGTGCCCCAGCTTCTTGCAGGACCACAAGAGACTTATTCTGAGGACAGCAGAAGCGACGCTGGGGGGAAAAAGCGGCACTGCAGCAACCAGGCAACCTCGTTGGACTTTAAGTACTACCTTGGCAGTTGGGCATTTTCGGAGGTCTAGTGTGTGGCTGAGACATATGCTAGATACAAAATGAGTGTAGAGTTCCGAACTGTGGTTCCTTTCTCCCTTGAGGGAAATGGCCAGACACGGACAGAGTGAGCCCTGAAGTGTACAAGAAACCTCCAGTAAGGGGGGTTGAGTACCTCAGGGAGTCCTGACGTGGGCAAGAAACCTCCAGGAAGTGGGGTCGAGTACCTCAGGGAACAGACTCGGGGAACACTGACCTAAAATGAAAATGGGAAATAAGAATTCTAGGCCTAGGGAAACAAGGAAGGGAGGAATTAAGGAGATTCTTCCCAACATTCCCTCAGATAGCTCCTTGGGGGAAATGTTAAAGGACTGGGAGAGGAATTCCCAGACAAGGAGCAATGAGAAACAGAAAATAACTAAGTACTGTTGTTTTATTTGGACCAAGAAACCAATTCATAAACTTTCAGTCTTCTGGCCACGATTTGGCTCAGAGGAGGACTGGGTCTGTCAGGCCCTTGTCCTCTATGTTAATGATAAACCCTCATCTTCCCAGGAGGAAAAGGATTATGCTCTATGCTGGTTATCAGGAGCAACTCCCATGTTTCCTCTTAAAATTGAAGGAGAAGACCCCAAAAAAGAATCCTGGGATCCTTTGTCCTGTCTTCCTCCTCCTTATGCCTCACAGAATGAGAGAAAAGAGGGCCCTAGGCAGACTGAATGTTCGGATCCCCAAGCACAGTCCGAACCCTTGGTCCCTGTGAATCCATATCCTAGCCTAAGGAAGGAATTAAAACAATGTAAGAAAGACCTTAAATTTTCCCCTCCCTTCGGGGACCTCTAAAGAAAGATCCAAAATGTTTCCCCTTAGGGAAGTCCCCATGGGGCAAGGAGAGATTGGATTCGTGAATGTCCCCCTCATGAGTACTGAAGTTAGAAATTTTAAAAAGGAAATGGAATCATTATTAGAAGACCCCCTTGGTCTGGCAGACCAGCTCAACCAATTCTTGGGGTCCAGCTAATACACCTCAGTCAAAATGATGTCTATAATGAGCATTCTCTTTACAGGGGAAGAAAGAGGAATGATTAGGAGAGTGGCTCTGTCCACTTGAGAGACAACACCCTCCCAGACAGGGGGTCCAGACAGGGGGTCCTGTCTGTGGAGCAAAAGTTCCCAAATTTGGATCCCAAATGGGATAATAATGATCCTAGAGATAGGGCCCAAATGCAAGACCTCAGAGAATTTATCATCAAAGGAATTAAAGAATCCACCCCCAGGGTACAAAATGTTTCCACGGCCTTTGTTT